GTAAAAATCCTTTTTTGAAGGGAGAAAAAAAAAAAAAAAAAAAAAACAGTATTTTTAGCATGGTTTATATTAGTTGTTTAGTACTTTTTTCTTTATATTTTTTGTATATTATTAAAATGTTAAAATTGTGCTTTTTAATTAAAATAAAATAATAATAAATATATTAAAAAATAAAATAAAAAATACAAATGAATAAAAATAGAATAATTTAAAATATTTATAATTTGAAAAACTATGTTTTTGTTATATATTAAAATACATTCTTTATTTTTCATTTATTTTCATTATCTATTCCTAGAAATAATAATGAATTTTTAAAAAACTTTGAGATTTATTTATTAAAATTTTTAGAAAAAAAAAAAAAAAAAAAAAAACTTAAAACTACCTAGATATATTTTATTGATATTTTCCAATTTTTTACTATTTATTAAAAAAAAACTTATAAATTTCATTAAAAAATAATTTTTTCAGTAGACTAAAATTCTTTCTTATTTTTATTATACTTAAAAGTAAGATATATTTTCAAATAAAGAATACCAATATTTAAGAGATTATAAGAAAAATAGAACTTTCTTTTTTTTTTTAAATTAGTATCTTTCAAGTTACCTTAAAAATATTATTTGTATTTCAAAAAATAAGATATAAAAAAGAACATATGTATTACTATAAAAACAAAAAGAAAATGAACTTTATAATGAAAATATATATATATTTTTTTTTTCTGTAATATCATTATCATATTAAAAATATATCTTTATATCAGATGTACATATTTTATCCATATATTATTATTAATATTAGCTTCTGTTTAAATACTCTATTTGTATAAATAAAAATAATTGATATTTTATACACATTTGGAAATATCTTTAAATTTTTTTTTTTTTTTTTTTTTTTTATATCCAAAAGAATATATAAAAAAAAAAAAGAAATACACAAAATTGTTTTCATATAATTAAAAAAAATAAAAAAGCTTACAAAAAAGTATTTTTATACAATCAAAAAAAAAAAAAAAAAAAAAATAAGTCAAAAAATATAGAATTTATTTGTTTAAAAAAAAGAAAAAAATTAATCATAAAACATTAAAGAAGAAGAAAAACCCTTTTAAATAATTTTTTTTTTATGGAGAATTTTATAAAAAAATGACTTATATTTTTAAAGAGAATCAATATTATAAAAATTTTCTTAAATAATATTTTTTTTTTAATATATTTTCTTTTTACTTAATGACGATATATTGATTTTAAAAGAAAAAATGGTTTTTTCTAGACTAAATATAAAAATGAATTTTATTCCTAAAAAGGGAATAGAGGAATTATGGAAAAATAGTTTTTTAGATAATGTTAGTATGAAAAAAAAACTTGAATATAGTAAAACAGGTGACGCTTGGCCATGTGTCTTGCTAAGAAAGAAAAGTTTTGATGATCTACATAAATTATACTATATATGTTTAAAAGAAAAAAATAAATTGTTAGGAGAACAATATTACAATTTTCAGAATAGTACTAAAATGATAAATCATGGAAGATTAAAAAAAGTAAAATTAACTATGAAAAGAATTTTAACTGTATTATCAAGACGAGCTATACATGAACAATGTATAAGAGCTAAAGAAATTTTAAAAAAACAAAAAGAAAGAGAAATTTATGAAACTCAAAAATTTCAACTTGAAGAACAATTATTATATTTGAAACACAAACTAAATATTTTAAAAAATACCTCATCCTTAGAAAAAAATTCATTAAAATTATCCATGAGTAAAATAGAAAATAAAATTGAACAACTGAATATTATTCTTAATCCATTAAGAAAAGAAACAATGCATTTATTAATTCCTCATTTTAAATATCAAAGAAAATATTCAGATTTACCAGGTTTTATCTCATGGAAAAAACAAAACATTATTGCTCTCAGAAATAATATGAGTAAATTATATAGATTTTATTAATACCTTTTTAATAAAAAAAAAAAAAAAAAACAAATATTCCATTAAGTACCTAATAAGATTAATAAATATACATTTTTATTTTACAATTTAAAGTAAAAATTAAAAGGTATACTTATACTTTTTTTTTCCTTTAATATTTATAAGCATATCTATTTTTTAATTAATTTTTATTTTATATATATATATAAAGCATTTTTTTTTTTTTTTTTTTTGTGTTAACTCTGAATTTTGTAAAAAAAAAAAAAAAAAAAAAACATTAAAGTTATTAAAAAGAATTTACTAATATGCGAAATTTATTTAGACAAGATATCTTTTTTTATTTTCAAAATTCATATAAAATTATATATTTCCTTTATACTATTCTTATTAATAAATAAAATATAAATAATATTGAAAAAACTATTATTAATATATATATTTTATTATGTTTCCTTATATAATATAAAATGTTCACTATATATTTGTAAAGATTACATATATTACACCTACATTTTAATTATTTATAAAAATACAACATAAATATATTTTATCTGTAAAAATTTAAATGTAATAAAACAGGATAAACTTTTTGTCCCATATTAATCTAAAATTAAAAAAAAAAAAAAATGTAAACATTAAAAAATTATTATTTTCAATTATTTTTAAAAAAAATGTGTCTTTATATTAAAAAAATTTTTTTTTCTCATTTTTTACTTAATAGATAATTTATACATTTACTATAAATTACTAATTTTTTGAAATAATAAAAAGTATAAAACTAAACAAGTTTAATAATTATAAGTATTTTTTCATTTAAGGTAAATTGTATTCACTTTTATTAGAACTTACTATTCTTATTTTTTGTTTCAAAATTTTTGTTTTCATTTATTCTAAACTGTATCATAAATAATTTATAATTATTTGTGTCATTTTTTATTTATCATGTTTTCACTTTATTTTTTTTTTTTTTCATTCTTAGTATAAAGTAAATTTTAAAAATATATGCATTTAAAAATTTATAAAAATATATTTATCATTAATTTTATAAAGATATATAAGTATTTTTTAATATATACATATGCAAAATATCATTCTTTAAAAAATCAAAAAAATATAAATATAAATAATTACAATGTGAAAATATTTTTTTTTCAATTTAAAAAATACATTTCTACCTAATACCTAAAAAAAAATCCTCAAATAAAGATATCTAAAATTAAATATAATTTAAAAAAAAAATTAATTATTTATTATATCTACTAAATATTATAAATAAAATACGTTGTGAAAAACACAATTTTGCAATTTGTATAATTTTTCTGAAGGATTTTAAAAAATATATAATAAAAAATTTTATTATTTATAAAAAGAAATTTCAAAGATTTAAAACGTTCCACATAATGTAAATTTGAAAACCATAAAATTTAATATTGTAAAAAAAAAAAAAAAAAAAAAAAGATTTTTTTAATTAATAAAAAAAAAATATTTATATAAAAGTACATTTTTTGTGTAGATTCAATATATATAAATAAAAAAAAAATATATGACAAAAAAAAAAAAAAAAAAAATAATAAAAAATACTTTATAAAAAATTTTAATTAAAGTGAAATAATAAAAAAAAAAAATATATATTAATGAATATCAATTTTTATTTGTAAAAAATTTATAAAGTTTAATAAGAAAATGTATCAAGTAAAGTTATCAATCTTTTATATTATATTTTTATTACAATTTATAGTAGCATATTCATATAGTAACACAAAAGTTAATGAAAATGGGAATATTTTATCCTCAAATTTATCTATTAAAAATAAAAAAAATAATTTTAAAAATTTGAATTCTGGTGATATAATAGATGCAAAAAAAGAAAAAAATGACATTAAGATAAGAAAAAATATGAATAAATTATATAATACTTTATTTCCTGATGATATAGAAAAAAAAAATGAAAAAAGTAACTTTGATAATAAATATGAAAAGGAACATTTTGAAGATAATTCTTATAGAATAAATATACCAATTGACGAAAAAGATTTAAATAATAAAAAACTTGACAAAAAAAGTGACACTTTGAAAAATACAGAACTTTTTAATAATGAAATGAAAATTGAAAATATAAAAAATGGAGATGAGATAACAATAAATAAGCAAAATACTTTTGGTATACTTGGAAATGGTGAAAAAATGAAAAGTGAATCAAAATTTGCTATTTTTAATTATTTAAAAGATTTTTTTCAGAATTCTTCTTACATAAAAAATTTCAGGAATTATATTGAAATTTTTTTTAATAAATATGATCAACGTATAATGGAGTCTACTATTTTTTTTAATTTTGATGAAACACTATTTTAGATATGCTTACTTTATAATAAATAAAAATATAAACTATATATTTGTTTATGTATTAAAAGTATTAATTATATTTAGCATCTAAAAAGGAAACCCTTTTAATACATTACTCTTATTAAAATATATATAACTGAATATAATTTTTTTTTTGCATTTTTTTTATTTAAACACACATATATATTAACATTATCGAATTTAATGTTCTATTAATTTTTTTTTTTTTAATATTTTATTAAAATTATCTAATGTTTTATCTTTTTTTTTAAATATTATAATCATATCTATTAAGAAAAAATATTAAAATTTCTTTTATCATCACCTAATTTAAAAAAAATATACACATATATATATATATATATATATATATATATATATATATATATATATATATATATATATATATATATATAGACTAATTTTTTCAAATTAATACAACTATTAATAAAATATGTACATTTCTTATATATATATAAATATATTTTTGTTTACCTTTTTTTTCATGTTATATGATAAATGAGAATTTATCCTTTCATTTTTTATATTATTTATTTTAAATTTTATTTCTATATTTTTTTTTTTTTTATTATTATTAAATAGTTGACTATTAACCCTATCAATATTTTGTATTTTTTCTTTTATAACTTCTTCAAATAAAGAAAAAAAAGAAATATTTTTTTTTGATAAATAATTTTTTATATAAATCTGAATATTTTCATGAAAATAAGGAAATTTGCTAAAGGAAAAAAAGTAATTAAAAACAAATTTGTTTAAAGAAATAATTTCATAATTCAAAACTTTTTTTTCATCTTTTGTAATTTTCTTTTTATCCTTTATAAAATTAAATAATCCTAAATGAAGAAATTCTTTAAATGTAAAATATTCCAAACTTTGTAAACATAAATATACTTCTGAACTATCTACATTATTTTTTTCTATATCACAGTCATTCTTAAAATGATTATTGTAATAATTATTTTTTGAAATATTTTTTTTTGCTAAATCATTTGTTTTTATTTCACTATTATTAGTAAAATTTTTAGTTTCACTTCTTAAATCATTAAAGAGAAAAAAATAATTTTTAAATATCTCCTTTTTTACACTTTCTTCTACTCTCTCTTTATCCATCTTTCTATCTAATATATCCAAATATTTTAAAAAAATCTAATAATTGAAAAAATGAAAATTTGTTTTTTCTCAATAATTTATTATTAAATATATTATAAATTACAATAAAATATAAATTATTAATAAATTAATAATATTACTAACAATATTCTAAATTTATTAGTAAGATTGAAAGGATATTACGAAATACATATTGATTAAATATGTCTTTTTATTTATCATGTATATATATATATATTAATTTATTATAGATGGTAAGTTGAAATTTTGTTATTTTAAGAAAAATTTATTTATATCTAACCTTTTTAATATAACTTTTCTTTGGTTTTGAAAAGAAAAAAAAAAAAAGAAAAAAGAAAAAATGTAGAATAAAAATACTTTGATTTTTCTCTTTATTCTTTCGTAGAGATATATAGGAGCTATTTATATTATTAATCATATTTTCTTTAAGCATAAAAAAACTTATAGTAACACCATATTTTTTAACATATTCATTTAAAATTTTCTTAAATAATAAGTAAGTATATATTTTTTCAGATTTCTCTTTTATAAAAAACAAACTGGACATTATAATATTTCCTAAATCTACCTTAAGTATTAATGGAAAACTTTGTGTAATAAAAATATAATTTAAAATACTTTTTAAAAATATATATATATAATTTTTTTTTAACCATAAACTATTTTCATTATTGTTATTATGGTTGGTTAAATTATTATCGAAGCTGTTTTCTACATATGAACATTTATATTTTCCTTTTGAATTTTTTTCTTTTTTTTTTATTTTATTATTATTTTTTAAGTTAATTTTCTTTTTCTCTTCATAAAAAATATAATTATTTTCTTTATAATTATTTTCCAAATTAGTATTTTTATATATCATTTCATTTAATTTGTTAGTTGTTTTATCTAAAAATTTAAATTTTCTTTTATTAAATATCCACAAGTAACAAAAATTAATTTGTCTAGAATTTTGAATAAAATTTCTTAGTTTATCAAGCATAAAATTTATTTGTTTGTATATACATAAATAGTGTATTGTTATAAAATTATTAATATAATTATTTAAATCTTGAAAAATAAGAAAATATTTTCTTAAATTGATTATAGAATAATTAACTAATTCATGAAATTTATAAAAAAATCTACAACTATTAATAGAACGAAATTCTTTTGCTATATAAGATAATTGTTTTTCTCTCTTTGAATAAAAACTATCTGAATTTAATTCACTACTTTTATCTTTATTCATATTTTTTTTATAATCACCGTTTTCTATCAAAAAATTGTTTATATTTTCTTTAATATAATTCAAAAAAGGAAAGTAGTAATTATTTTTTTCATATATATAAAGTTCTTTTTTATTTTTAGGAAGATAGCTAAAAATAAGCATATTCTTTTCATTTTTAAAAGTAATGTCATTATGTATTAAAGCATACAAAAATTCATTCACAAAATAATCTAAGTTCAAATAAAGCTGATGTTCTATATTAATTAAATAAAAATTCTGAAACACTAACAAAAATATATGTATATTAATCCATTTGTTTAAATAATTTTTTTCTTTTTTATTAGTATTATTTTTTTGTTTTAATATTTCTAGCCATATTTTTTTTTGAATTATACTTAATTTTTCCATTAATAAAAATTTAACTTTCTCATTTTCAATTTCATACTTTTGATAACCATTATAAAATTGAATGAATTCATTAATATCTTCAATGTTCGTATAATCTAAAAATAAATATACATTTTTATGTATATATTTTACAACCTTACTAATATTTTTTTCTAATATTTTTTTCCATACAAAAAAATTAAATAAATGGGTCACATATACTTTTATTATATTACAATACTTTAGTCTAAAATAATAAGCTAATTTTTTATCTAATTTTATATCTTTTATAAATGAAATAATATCATTAATATCTGTTTCTTTTTTATTTAAATTTTCAATATTTTTTTCTGTATTATTATTATTATTATTATTATTATTTTTTTTTCTTTTCTTATCATTACACTTCATTTTATCTTTTTTAATTAAAGTAATTACCTTTGATATTAAATTACTTGCTGATTTGTATATATTACGTTTCAATATATGATATCTGGAATATTTTGAACTTTTATAACTTTTTAAAAAATTCTCTATCTCTATATAATTTTTATCCAAATGAAAAAATTTTTTTATTAAATGAAAATTTGAAAAAAATATCTTTTTATTTTCATTAAAAGTTCCTTTACAAAAGAAATCACAATTTGTATCTTTTTTTATTTTATGTTCCAATTTTTTATAAAATTTTTTAAATTTACAAGTAATTCTACAATTGCTTTTATAAATTTGAGAATGAAAAGTCTGGGTATTTCTTGTAGTTCTTATGATAATCCTTTTTGTTTTTTTCAATTTTAAGATATTTTCTTCGTCATTCTTGTTATTTGTATTATCATATTTATTATTATTATTATTATTATTTCTTTCTTCAAAGTGGCATGATGAATTTCTGTTAATAAATCTGAATAAAAAATTAGTTATTTGTTTCATATTTCTGTCTATATGAAAATGTAAATCTATTCCACCCAAAGTACAATTATTTGCATAAAAAAATTCATCAATTTTACATAAGAAATTTGAAAAAAACAGAATATTTTTTTCAGTTAGACTATATATATCATCTGTATTATAATTAGACTTTTTATTTAATTCAATATTTTCTTTTGTGGTATTTAAATTTTTATTTCTATTTCCTTCATTTTTTATTTTTTTTAACATTTTATCATGTTTTTCATAATTTGTTCCTTCCATTTTTTTAGATGTTACTATATTCTTAAACTTACTATTTGACAACATTTCATATTCTTTGGAAAATTTTTCCTTTTTTTTCTTAACAGATAGATTTCTATTTTGTAAATAACTTATATTTTCATAAATGAAATTGTTAAAAAGAAAAAGTTTTTTTGATTTTAATTCAAAAAGAATATATTGTTTAAGTGAAAAAAAAAAATTAATAATAATATATCCACGATACTTTTTTGATTTTTTCACTTTAATATTACTAATTTCTTTTTCCTTCAATACATCTCCTTTTACATTACAATTATGTTCATTTGTATAAAACATATCGTAATCATATTTTATACGATAATATAATAAATCTACATAAAGATTATCAAGAATTTTTTTATTTATTTTTTTCTTATTTAACTTTCTTATTATGTCTTTTAATTTTATTAATATTTTCCTTTTTTTTTCTATTATGAAATTATCTTTGTTCTTATCTCCACTTAAATCTTATATTAAAAAAAATAAAATAAAATAAAATAAAATAAATAATAGATTATAATCTTCTCATATAATTTTTTTTTTTTTTTTTCATTTTTATCTTTACCATTTTTTGTGTCTTCCATTTTACAAATATAACAGATTTCTTTTTTTATATTTTTAAAATCATATATTTTTAGTGAATATATATTTTTTAGATATTTAGCTAATTCTTTAATTTCTATAATTGTAAATTAGAAAAATTATACAAATTCAACAAAGATTTATTAATTTTATTTAAATGTATTTTTCACATATATATATATATATATATATTTCTTTTTTTTTTTTTTTTTTTTTTTTTTTT